AAAAAAATTATTTCAGACAGTTGCCAAGTGAACATTTCTCACTTTAATTTAGTTTAGCTTGAAGTACTGTAATAAGTAAAAACTGAACCTTAAATAATAATGAATGAAAACTATATAGACAACTACTAATAATGACAAAAACACAGCAGAATTACTCAAACTTGAACTAAAATTAAAAGGAAAAAGAAAAACATTTTCAAAAATACTTCAAGAAACTATAATAGCATCTCAATGATACTAAAATAACACCTTATTTTTGTTTTTGGGTGAGCTATTCCTTTAAACAAACACTTGTTTTACACAATATTTTAGAAAAGAGAACATATGCACAATCCATTGAAAAGGCGGATGGTATTTAAACAAAATGATGAATGTGTTTACAGTTACGTTACCGGCGGCGCCACAGAAACGTCAAACGGAGCCCATGACCCTTTCACTGTCCGTAAATAATGAGTGACAGCTGTCAGTCATCACACAGACAGATGCCGCCCAGGACAGCAGCTCAATCAGCCGAAAAGCACAAACTCTCGCGCTTTTTCTCTGTTCCTCTCATGCTTGCTGGTAATGCATGTTTTCATATTCACAACCTTCGTGGGGATATCAATCATCTCAAATCATATCACATGGACGTCCTGCAATCATCGCCCCCTTGAGCACTTAAAGTCAACATGAAATCAAAATTAATTCTATTCATTTTCATAATACAAATACTTCTCCTGTGCACACATAATTAGAGCACTTTATTCAAAATAAAACATCTTTGTCTTTTTAATGCTTCATCAAAATATAATAACCTACTCTGCCTCCGAAAAAACGTTCCTTGACGTTATTTATTAGTTTTCAACCCAGCCAACCAGCTAATTCTTGTACAAAACCATATATTTTCTCATAATAATGAGATGTTATGTTGTTATAACTACATATTTTCTAGTAATAACAAGTTGCCATGTCATCAAATCAACATTTTTCTTGTTAAAACATTCTATGTTATGTTATTTAAACAATATATTTTCTAGTAATATCGAGATGCTGCTATTAAAACGTTTTCTCGTACTAACAAGATGTTATGTCATTAAGATATTTTTCTTGTTAAAGTAACAGATTTTATCGAAAAACGATGTTATGACGATATAAAACATTATATTTTCTAGAAATAACAAGATATATTTTACAATTACATATTCTTGTAATAACGAGAAATGTCTTTAAAATGACATTTTCTTATAACAACGAGATGTTATGTCGTTAAAACAACAACGATTTTCTCGTAATAATGAGATATATCTTTTCATAATGA